AAGGATTTTACGGTGAGTACCAAAATCCTATTTTTCCTCTTCACTTTCCCCTGCAAAACTCCCAATATCTGGATAGGGGGCTCAGAAACACAAAGGTCTGCCGCATACATTACCTTTAAGACAGTGTGACTGCATTCAAGTAGCGTTCAATGGGCGCCAAACTGCAACATGAGAGAGTCCAAAGTGCCGCAACTGTTGACAATACCTTCACATAAAAACAGCTGATGCGTTTTGGAAGGCAACAAAATTTCACCTTCCTCAGAGCTCAGAAAAATAGAATGCAGATTTGAATAGACTCAAAGATAACTAAAACCAAATGGATCTATATTTGATCTGGTGTAAAACCTCTTTTAGACTTGGAATTCTAACAATATATTAGCAGCAGTCCTGAGAGCTGCCTTACTAGAGCCAGTGAGCTCTTTTGAAGATTTCCTTGCGTTTGAACCACTGGAATACGTTTTAAATTCCCGGTGCCTCTTAAATGTATTTTATTCTGACTGCATTTATGTTGTAAAAAAGTGGGATAATCTAGTCATTAATGCATATGCCAGCAGCAGAATAAATTACATTATCCTCTGTCATACAGCGATTCAGGAGTACACCTATACAGATTTGTTTCTGACCAGTGTCTGTCCTTGCTCAATTCAGCCGTCTTATACTTTGGAAATGGAAGTCACATGGTGCAGGTTACTTGTGGAAATTCAGAATTTGTTGTTCCTGTTTATGCCAGCAAGGGGTTAGCCACTCCATGGGGCAATATTTGGATTCGGTGTGATCAATCTTTTGGTTATCTGTGGAGAAAAGTAACAGCATAAATATAGGTCTTTTTATATTTTCCCCAAAGTGGATTATTTCCATACATTTTTTGTTGATAGGATATGATCAAGGACTTGAAGTCTGAGCTCTCTGGAAACTTTGAAAAGGCAATCCTGGCTATGATAAAAGCACCAGCTCTATATGATGCGTACGAGCTCCGCGAATCAATGAAAGTAAGTGGTAATCTCTAATCTGATCTGTGACTATAGTGATGGGTTCAGTGCACAGAATTGGTTACTATCTTATTTTCCTCAGGGTGCTGGCACAGATGAGGAATGTCTTATAGAGATTCTTGCATCTCGGTCAAATAAAGAGATACATGAAATCAACAGCGTGTACAAAACAGGTGAGCTGTTATATCTTATAAGTTCTGTGATATTATATGTATTGTGTATTTGCATCTAAACAGATCTTCTAATTGCCATTCATAGGCTTCCTGTCAATGTATAAATATCTATATATATTTCCATTGTATTTTTCTCATATCATGTTTCCTTTTAAAAGCTAAAAATATTAGCATTGCATGGCACTTTTAAAGTGACCCTGTTACTACACGGTTATTACTAAAATATAGCCTGCCTGTAAAAGAAGACGCTATATACCTTTCCGGTGGCCCATGTCTTCAGACTCCACCGTAGGTATTCAGCATTTCTGGGTGTATCGAATACTTGCTGCCCTTGCCACACACAGTGGTTCCTCCTACTGGCTCTCGTGTACTATAATGACATATGAGCTGGAGGGAATTGCGTCATGGGGCAGAAGGAGCAGGTCCGAATACCTGTGCAGAGTCTGAAGACATGGGTCACCAGAAAGGTGAGTATAAAGCATCTTTTTATTTATTTTTATTTTTTTAACAGCAGCCCTCTTTGTAGTATCAACCCTGTTGTGACAGTTTCAAGACCTGATACTTTTATAAATGTGCAGAACAGAGGGAGGCTTAAAAGCTTTGTACTTCTAAGTCTCATATATTCTTAGTTTGGATGAGGCTGTTTTATGACAAGAGATGTTATGTTTTCTGTTTCTTCAGAGTTTAAGAAGACCCTAGAGCAAGCATTGAAGAGTGACACTTCTGGCCACTTTGAACGGCTACTAGTTTCACTATGTCAGGTAATTTCCAGTTGTACAACCTGCTCATTAACATGTATGTAATACATTATTATGTATCCCAGGAATGTCTGTTGGTGTTTATGTAACTGTGTGCTGTAAAATGACCAAAGGCCTGCAGTGTTCTGTAATCACCAACCCATGGGAATCCTAGGTTTAACCAGAAGATGTTGCAACAAAAGGTGTCAAACACCCACACACTGTGGTCAAAAGGTCTGCTACCCACTTCCACCACTCCAGGTCAAAGCACTTCCCACCCACCTCACCCTCTCTTGGTCAAAGTGCCTGCCACAGCACCTCCAAGCCTCCCCTCTATGGTGCCCCTCACCCATTCTTAGGAACTGCACCTCCAACATACCTTACCCTCCTGGTCAAAGCATCTGCCATCCACCTCGCCCCCTTTCTGCTCCATTGCCTTCCACCCAAAATACTCCCCTCACAGAACCTCACAGCACCCCTTCCCACCCTGATCATAGTGCCTACCACCCACTTCACTCTCTTTGGTCAAAACGAATGATATTGTGCCTCCCACCTACCTCACCCACAGGACCATGCGCCTGCCAATCCTTTTTCCTCAACCCCTATCCCCATCTCAGCCTGTCTCACAGTGCCTCCCTCTGAAATCACCTACTATCCACCTCACAGCATGCCTTAACCATCCACCCCACTCTCACCTGGATACAGTGCCTCCCACCCATCCATCCATCCAAGCACAATGTCCCTACTGCATTCTCATAACTACTTCCTCCACTTAATTAATGCAAACCGCTCCCATGCCCCAGAAATATCTCCTCTGCTGCCCCTGTCCCTCAGCATCTACACACTGCACTCTGCTCCACTCCACAAACATACTGTTTTTGGAACAGGCAGACTTGCTAGTATACTTTTTAAGCTGATTTGTTTTAGATTGTAAACTTTGTGTCACTATATTTCTTTGCAGGGTAACAGAGATGAGAGTAGTAATGTGGACATGTCCCTGGTCCAGCGCGATGTACAGGTGAGCACCATACAACACAAGCACATTTTTTTTTTTTTTTTTGAAAAATAAAATGC